ATATATATACATATATATATACGGTATATGAATGTCTGTACAGCTTCCTTTGGATCAATAAGTGATAATTAAATTATTTTTTGGGTTGAATTCTATGGACTTGTAACAAAACTCAAAATATTGTCAAAGTGCCATCATGGTTACTAAGTAGTCAGCACTCTTACCGTGCGGTTAGGGGATTTTGGCCTCAATTACCACAATTGCCACAAACGGCAATATGTGCGTTACCTCTGGATGGACCAGTTTTCTTTGGACAATTTTTAAAACACATGCATAAGTTTGAGCCCTGATTGTCCCAAAAGTGTGTGTGTGTGTATATACACACACACACACGTGTATTAATTCTTATGGTGTGCGGTTTAATGTTTTGCAGAGTGCTATGAAATGTTTATAAATTATAAACCTTAGATGTTGATGTGTACATTTCAGCAAAAGACTATTTGCCTCATGGGAGTTGTAGGCAAAGAAAGATGTGAACATGACCAGAATCAACGTGCACAGCTTTTACTAAATGCGCGCATACACTGCTCGATTCTCCTAAGAGAATCGTGGGAAATCCCGCGATCGTACGAGAATCGAGCAGTGTGAACGAAGACGTGCGACCGTTTCTACTGTACGGTCGCACGTCTTTTGTCTAAGGAGCACGCTAGAAAACCAGCTGAAAATCGTACGATTTTCGGCTGGTTTGAACGGTGCTCGGGAGACAAATGCCGAACTGGCCGGTGTGCGCACGCGCACACTGCCTGTTAAGCATTGCGGTCATCGGAAGCCCGCCCCTCAAGGGGGCGGGCTTGCAATGATCGAGAGTACGATCTGCCTGTCCAAGATGGGCAGATTGTACTTTTTTTTTATTACTTTACAACCATCGCAAGACTAAGGTCTTGCGATGGTTTAAAGTGTATGGCCACCTTTAGGGACAGGCAGTGTGATGGGAGAGAAGAGCAATGGGAGCGAGCACAGCAGACTTTCTAAACAGATTAAAATAGTAAGACTTTATTAAGACTTTATTTTAAAACATAAATAAATGTGGCTTTGGAGAATGTTCATTGTGTAGCTGTACAGTTGTGCTCCAAAGTTTGCATACCCTGGCAGAAATCATGAAATTTTGGCATTGATATTGACATTGATATCATGCCAAAAAACTGTCTTTAAGTTAAGGATAGTGATCATATGAAGGCATTTATTATCACATACAGTAGCTGTTTGGCTCCTTTTTAAATCATAATGATAGCAGAAATCACCCAAATGGCCCTGATCAAAAGTTTACATACCCCTGAATATTTGGCCTTGTTAGAGACACACATAGGTTAAAATGGCAATTAAAAGGTTAATTTCCCACATCTGTGGCTTTTTAAATTGCAATGAGTACTGCGCCAATGCCACAAAAATGCCCGGTTACAATATGCCCAACACCTTCTGGCACACTGTAATTTGGAATGACGAGACTAAAATAGAGCTTTATGGTCACAACCATAAGCGCTTTGTTTGGAGAGGGTTCAACAAGGCCTAGAGCAACAAGAATACTATCCCCACTGTGAAGCATGGTGGTGGCTCACATTTTTTTGGGGGGGTGCGAGCTCTAAAAAGCACAGGCAAACTTGTGAAAATTGATGGCAAGATGAATGCAGCATGTTATCACAAAATACTGGCAGGCAATTTGCATTCTTCTGCACGAAAACTGCGCATGGCACTCTCTTGGATCTTCCAGCACAATGACCCTAAGCACAAGGCCAAGTTGACCCTCCAGTGGTTAAAGCAGATAAAGGTGAAGGTTCTGGAGTGGCCATCACAGTCTCCTGACCTTAATATAATCAAGCCACCCTGGGGAGATCTCATGACCTAGGAGCAGGGGTAGCAAACCTCCGGCCCTCCAGCTGTGGTGGAAATACAAATCCCATGAGGCATTGCAAGATTCTCACAGCCACAGACATGACTCCCGAAGAGAGACGCATCATGGGATTTGTAGGTTTCACCACAGTTGGAGGGCCAGGGGTTTGCTACCCCTGACCTAGAGGCCTGAACGGGCAGCTATACCACCTGCACGGGGGGCAATACACAGTATTAGGAACTAATGGTATGCAGACTTTTGAACAGGTTCATTTCATTTTTTTTTTATTGCCATGTTTTGTTTTAGGATTGTGCCATTTTGTTATGACCTACAGTTGAACATGAATCCCATAAGAAATAAAAGGAATGTGTTTTGCCTGCTCGCTCATGTTTTCTTTAAAAATGGTACATATATTACCAATTCTCCAAGGGTATGCAAACTTTTGAGCACAACTGTATATAAGGAGAAAAAAGATGAGGGTTTTGTGTCACTTTAAGCATTGCAGGCATAACATTCTCTCTGGCATTACCCTTTATCTAAAAGAATTCCAGAAGTTGCTGTATTTCTCAACCTAAGCTAAAGAGAGCTTAACTATGTAACCATATGTTTCTAAATAAACTTTTTTGTATTCATACATGCTTATCCAGTTTGATTACAAAGCCCTCTGGCTAATGAGATGACAATGACCTTTGTTCAGTGGTGCAAGAAAATAAAAATTGAGTTGCTTACCCTGCTGACTTCTGTAGGTGTTAAATCTGTAGAGGGGGGAAAAAAAGAAATAATTAGTAGAGAAGTCTATTAATTATATATAAAGACTACCACTGACAGTCTAAAGGAGAAGGTAAAACTGCTAAAGAGGGGTGTAAGATAAAATAACAGCGCCCCCATAGCAAAATATTTGTGGGTTCTCTCTACAAATAGACAATACTTTGCACAGGCTCTGAGCTTCAGCATGAAACAGGTAAATGATTGGTAATAGATAAATGTCACCTGCACACCATAAGTTGAAAAAGCAAAATATTTTATTGCCAGTAGCTGTATCTCATTGACAAGCGCTTTCGGGGCCTCGCAGGGTCACCTTCATCAGGCTTAGAGATAGAGTTATCTCTAAGCCTGATGAAGGGGACCCTTAGAGATGGACTTATCTCTAAGCCTGATGAAGGGGACCCTGCGAGGCCCCGAAAGCGCTTGCCAATGAGATACAGCTACTGACAATAAAATATTTTGCTTTTTCAACTTATGGTGTGCTGGTGACATTTTTCTATTGTTCATGTGTGGCGGTGCCATCCGCAGTCATTTCGAGCACCCATCCTCATCAAGTGGGAATCCCGGTAAGGAGTGCGGTATGGTTCCTGTTTCCGGTAAATTATTGATAACACCATACAACTTCAGCATGTTACTGGCATTTTGTGATTTAACATTTCAATTATTTCTCTCAATGCAGACCTCTATCATACCACACATCTTTCTGAGATGGGAAAGAGGACCAGTAAGCATCTATATGCCAAAAATATTTGGTTCAACCCAGAATTGTTTTTTTCCCCACCATTACAATTTTTTTCAACCATATAGTTATCTGTACATAAGACCAAAAGGAGGGACAACTGAGGAGTTGTGTGAGGTTTGCTTGCCAGCTCCCTGCGGTCACCAGCCACCACTGTGAGGAAGTCTTATGCTACTAACTACCTATATGGCGCTCTATATAAGATCATGTAAACCTTAGTCAGATCAGAGGAAATTCTCATTATCTAACAGAGGCTGATGTGGAACTCAGAGCACCACACAGGAATACAAATGTGGCAAATTTCCTCTGCTGGTGTGCTGACTGCAGATGGCATATAGACTGGCCGGGTTCTATAAACAGGGCTGAATTGAATCCTAGGAAATTGAATCCCACATCACAGAAAATGTGGTGCCTTAAACCACAAGTTGGGATGGTGAAAACTTTTGTTTTTCACTGTGATACAGCATGTAAAAAAAAAAAAAAAAAGGGAAACAAATGTTTAAATGTGTGGTGCTGAATAGGGAATGTACAGCAAAGAATACTATGAGGCAATGTGGAATAGTTAAGTTAATAGTGTTCACACAGAGAATTCTATCACCTGCACACATCTGTTCCATTCAGACCTCCTGCCCATGCTGCTATCAGCACAGTGGCTTTCAAGAATGTTATTCTCTAAAACTAGGGCCAGAGCCTGACTACAGGACCCAGAGTGCAATTTGGGTTTTGTTCATTATTATTGCGGATGTTCAGATACCAAGTACGCTACTCGGTACAAGTACAGATATTTTTCCAGCTCCAAGACTAGACAAAAAATTCAAAAGTTAGGAGGCAGCTGTCATTTTTAATGAGCATACGGAGCTCCTGAGATTTGTGCATCCCTGTTTTAATGTATGGTTTTAAAAAAATAAATATATATAAAAGGGATACAATTTTTTCAAGTGCAAGTGCTGATATGTGTCCAAGTACTCACAGATTCAACTACTGATACATTTTTGTTTATTGTCATGCGACAGTGGTGGAGCGCCAGAGCTAGGTCCCAGCTGCAACCGCTGCAACCCTGGTAGTTCTCATGAAAATGCGAAGTATTGACACTGATATCTGAACATCCCTAATTATTAACATTCCTGATATTTCTGGGACAAACTGAACATTTGCAGTCCCACCTGCTGCTGCTGTGGACCCCAGAACATTGCTTGGGACACAGGAGCAGGGAACTAGACTGTACATTTTGGGACTGATTGGTTTCCATGGGCAACTGCTCTAGATTCTGTCTGCTCCAGTTTTGACAAATTCCCCCCCTCTGTATTTTCCAAGTAAACAGAACACAACTGAAAGACAAATAAAAACCTACCAACACCTAAAGAGGAAGGGAACTCTGCTGTACCGGAAAGACCGGAAAACAGAGTTACCGGTAAGTCTAACTCTGAATTTCCCTTATAGTCTTTTCCAGGACAGCACATGAGAGGATAAGGGAGAACTTGCCAGGTTAGGGAGGGACTACTGTCTGAAGAACCTCTCTCCCGAAAGCTTGATCTTGAGCAGAGAGAAGGTCCAGACGATAATGTCAACAACAAAAATGCTGGACCAAGTGGCAGCACGGCAAATTTGCTCCAGAGTGGAACTGGCCTGCCCCACCCCGGAAGTAGACAGAGCTCTGTTAGAATGTGCCATGAGCACAACAAGGCAAGTTTCTCCAATGGCAGAGTAAGCCTAAAATGTAGCCCGTTTGATCCATCTAGCAATATTAGTTTTTTGAAGCTCAGTTGTTTTCTTCCCTGAGTGTAATACAAAAAGAGTTCCTTGCATGTAATAAATTAAATTTAGAGGCAACTTTGGGTAAAAACCCTGGATCTGTCTTCAAGACCAATCTAGCTTAAAAAACCTGAAAAAAAGTTCCCTAATTGACAGGGCCTGAATTTCACTCACACTTCAGGCTGTAGTGAGGACAACTTAAAAAAAAAGGTTGAAAATCTCATATCACCTGAAGTTTCAAAATTGATTCTTAAGTAGGCCTTGCAGCATAATAGACCAACCCTATGTGGAAGAGACTAACTGGCAAAGGTGTGGCCCTAACAAGAGCCTTCAAGAATCTAGCGATCAAAGGATTGATAGCTATCCTTTTGCACAAAAAAACAAACACTTAGGGCAGAAATGTGGGCTTTAAGCATACTTATGGCTAAACCCTCATCAACCCCATCTTGCAAAAAATCCAGAATAGACGATATGTCTTCAGACCTTTGCTTATACAAACACCAAGATGAAAAAAAACTTTTCAAGTTTTGCCATAAATAGCCCTAGCCACTTTCTTTCTGCTGGGCAGGAGTGTCTTTATGACTATCTGACAAGCCTTTACCCCTCAAAAGCTCTTCTTCAGAAGCCAACATGTGAGTTTCAGACCCTCTCTAACTGGGGACTTGGATTCTGACCATGCCAAATCTTTCTGGCTAGAATTTTTGGTGGTCTGGCCTTTGTTCCCCCCCAAAAAAAAAAACTTTTGAGAAACCTTTTTTTACCATAAAGGCCTTTTACTTGTCCACCGTACTGCTCAAGACAGCCTCCAAGCCTGGATTGAACAGCAGGTCACCTGTGCAAGGTATCCCACATAGGCAAACCTTGGAGGCAGGGTCTCTGGGCCAGGTTTCAAGCCAAACTGCCCTGCGAGCTGAATTTACTAAGGCAGCAGTTCCACCTGATATTCTATCAAATTCTGCAAGGGCATCCCCCATAAAACCTGTAGCAAAAAAAAGCAAAAGGAAAAGACTGATCTAGAAAGCTAGGAAAAAGCTGCATCTAGTTTTTTTTTTTTTGCAAAATATTTTATTATTTTTCACAGTTTTAAACATGACAATGCATGCCACTTGTTCCCAACAATACGGGAACCAGGCGTAGCTATGCACCCAAAAACAATACACCAACACTTAGCCAAAAATAATAAAATAACCGGGAATAACATCCCTGCGTGATTAACCCGGGGGGGAAAACCCGCTGAGTACAGGCGGGGTGCGGACACTCCCCAACATAGCTCTTCAACTGTGGTTGACACCATATAGGTACGACATTCCAGGATTACAACGCTAGAACATTTTAACAAGGAGGTAATGCCACTACTTGAACTCAGGTCTCCTCTGGTTCGACACCATCACATGAGTGCACCCATATTTAGGCTTCTCCCTAGGGGTCACACTACCCCCCTTCCCAGCTCAGACATCTGAGTCCACCGCTGAGTCACCGCATTCTAACCAGCGATCCCAGACTTTGTTGAACTTGGCAGGGCATCCTCTATGAGCATATGTAGCCTAATACAGAGGTAGGTTGTCATTGACCAGCTTCTTCCAGAAAGCTAGCGCTGGGGGCTCGGGTTTCTTCCAACACATGGCAATTGCTTTACGGGCGTAGAATAACATGAGGCCCACCATCGTGCGTTCAGACCTTGTCGGAGCTAAATCCTCCACCAGGCCCAGAAGGCACATTCGCGGTGACGGGGTGAGATGTAGAGATGTGACTTTACCCATATACTCGACCACTAAGTGCCAGTAGGAAGTGATGAGGGAGCACCCCCAGAAGACATGAAATAAATTACCCTCGGGGCACGTGCATCTCCAACAACCTGGCAAAATAGAGGCATTCATCTTATGCAGGCGGTGAGGTGTGAAATATGCTCTATGGAGTATCTTAAACTGAACCATTTTATCCCGTATCGCAACCAATTGTTTAAAGGGAGCATCCCAAATTTCCTCCCAATCCTCCTCATCCAGGTCTGGGATGTCCGCTCTCCATCTAGATTGTAGGGTTAGTAGGCTGGGGGAGGTCAGGATCTGCAGGGTACCATAGAAGCACGAGGCAGGCTTTAGCAGTCCGTCCGTCCTCGCTAGAGACTCCAGCCGCGCCATGCCCAATTGGATGCTATCCCCGGGGAACTGAGCTCTGAAGGCATGGGCAAGCTGCATGTAACGGAAGAAGCATTTCCCATGGGTGGGGTGTCTGGCTGCAAGGTCATTAAATGGCAGTAGTGAGTTAGCATCTACTATATCCGCAATTATTTTGATTTTACGTTTGGCCCAGAAGCAGGGATCAAATAGAAGTGAGGGAGTTGAGGATTGTTCCATAATGGTGTTTTTGGGGATATTTCCAAGGTGTCTTTTTCACACCTGGATATCCCCATACGCCAGACTTTAATAGTGGTGTGCATAGAGGGTGTGAGGGGGTATGGGGCTCGTGGTCCTCTACCAAGCAAATTGGTCAGGGCCTCTACCGAGTTCAGGATCGCAGCCTCCAGCATGACGGAGGAGTTGTTCACATCCACCGAGAGCCACCAGTTGGCTGTAACCAGTTGTGTGGCCAGGAAATATTGATAGAAATCCGGGAGGGCCAGCCCTCCTTGGGCAGTAGGGCGCATTAAGGTCGTAAGTTTGTAGCGTGGGGGCATAGATCCCCATAGGAAGGAGGAAACTAGTTGGTTAAGTTGACAAAAATAAGATCGGGCAATCCAGACTGGGGAGTTCCTAAAGACATAAGTGAGTTTAGGTAACAGCTTCATCTTTACTAGGTTGATTTTCCCCAGCAGGGATAAAGGTAAGTTTGCCCATGCCTTCAGCCGCTGCCTCATGTCCCCGAGGACTGGAAGTAGATTCAGTGCTAAGTACTCCTGCGGTAGCCTGGAGACCACTACCCCAAGATATTTGAAGGAGTCCACCCAGGACAGTTGGGTAACCGACCTGGGTACAGACCTAGCCCCTGCATCTATGGGGAACAGTACCGATTTATGCCAATTGACCCTGAGACCCGACACGGCAGAAAATGCATCCAATACCTCTAGGGCACCCTGCAAGGAGGCTCCAGGATCATTAAGGAATAAGAGCAGGTCGTCCGCATATAGCGCCACCCTCTCCTCCAACCAGCCAATGCGAAGCCCCTTAATGAATGGTGATTTGCGCAATGCCTCAGCTATGGGCTCCATGGCCAGGGCGAAGAGAGTGGGCGACAGCGGGCAGCCCTGCCGAGTACCCCTGCAGATAGAAAAAGGCCTAGACAGGTTATTACCTAACTTCAGAGAGGCAAGAGGATCTTTGTATAACAGTCTGATCCAGCGAGTGAACTCCAAGGGGAACCCCATCTTGTCTAGGACAGCCCACAGGTAGGACCATTCCACTGTGTCAAAGGCTTTCTCTATGTCAAGAGACGCCACCACCCGCGTTCCGGTGTTGACATGGGATGCATGTATGTTGGTGAATAATCTGCGTAAATTAATATCGGTGGATCTGCGGGGCATGAAGCCAGTTTGGTCCGAGTCTATCAGACTGTCAGTTTGTTAAGTCGCACACTAAGAATCTTAGTCAATATCTTAAGGTCACAGTTAAGAAACGCAATTGGGCGATAGGAGGCACAATCCGTCGGGTCTCTAGGTGGCTTATGAATCAGGATGACATGGGCTCCAGTCATCGAGGGCGGCAGGTGGTTGGTCTCTAAGCTAGTATTGTA